AAATGGCGTCAGCGGGCCGTCGAGCTTGCGCTCCTTATGCCCTCCCCAAAACACCCCTCCCCAACCCGGGTATCGGGCCGCGGAGCGGCACGTCGGGGATGTCTCTTTGTCAGGATGGCCCCCACCCGAGTCTGCTCGACCAGGTCTCCGCCGGGGGCCGTCCTAACCCAAAGACACCCGGTCGGTCTGACACTGTGTTATTTCGCACAGTGCACGCGATCGACTTTCTCAGGAGTCAGGATGGCTGCATGGGAGCCCTAGGTCGGCTTGTGCCGACTGGGGAAACCAACACCACTTTGCTCGAGTGATGTACACGTGATCTGCCTCTTCGTGGCGTTGCAGACTAGTACGGACATGCTTCCGGAAGCCAAAGATCACACGTCCATGTCCGAAAGACCCACTGAGCTAGGGGGGGGGGCGACGCAAAGCCCTCTTTCACTGGGAGGAAGATATTTTGCTCAAACCACTATTACTCATGAACATGTCAAATCTATCATTAACGCAGGTTCGACTGGGGGGGCTTGGACACGATCCTGCCCCTCCGACCGTGGCTTCCTCAAAAGGCCCTCGATACCCACTGTCGGGAGACTGGGTGGGACCGAGTAAAGCTACAGGTGTGGTGCGTGGACTGCATCCTCTCCCCGCGGATGTCCCCTTGGGGAGGGCGTCCCCTCTCGCACGTGTGACGCTTGACAGGCGCGTGCGAGGCCAACAAACGACTGGTCGAGAACGAATAGGTGGCACGGGACACCTCAAATATTCCCTGATTGTGTTACAATTGAATGTGTGTGGAATCAGGCAAAAGTCACACGAAGTAACCAAACTACTCCACGAGCACGGCGTGGATGTAGGACTGTTCCAAGAAACATTGCTTCACGGGAAGCCGTTTCACATCACTGGTTACTCGCTATACCATTGCAAGTGTGGCCGATGCCAAGGCATTACCACAGCGGTGCGAAATGATCTCACGGTGGAGATCATCGAGTGTAAGCGATACGCAAATACTGACACCCTGTCAGTAAAAGTCACTAAATGTGGGAAAACGTTCGCCGTGACGAACATTTACAATTCTCCAAGCAATGTGATCACGATCCCCACCCACGGGGAGACGATCTTTAAACGGACTATAATTGCAGGAGATTTCAATGCCAAATCCCCCATGTGGGGTTATCCAGAGCGGAACGGCTCTGGTAAGCACGTGGAAGAGGTATGTCTCGAGACCAACCTTATCAGGCTTCAAGACGAGAAGAGCACGCCCACTCTTCTCCATTACGGCCATGGAACGGAGTCCAGGCCAGACCTGACGCTCGTGTCCGCTGATCTCGCGGGACATCAGGTCCTTAGTGTCCTTGACGACATTGGGAGCGACCATTTGCCCATACTGCTTAGGGTTGACTTGGGACAGGCCAAAACCAAGTGCGATAAACGCCACTGGCTCTTTCATAAAGCCAACTGGCAAGATTTCCAAAGTCAGTGCGAGACCAAGCTCGGACTAATTGCAGTCGATGTGGCCGACTCAGACTTAGATGTTGCTTTCGAGAAGTTCAATGACGTCCTCCTAGAGGTCGCCCGTGTGACGATCCCGAGAACGACCGGGAAGCGACCGTACAAGCCTTTTTGGAACAAAGAGCTTGCAAAACTCGTGAAACTAAGAGCAAAAGCTCGGAAAGAAGCCGCGAGGAAGAAAACACCGGCTGCTCGTGCCGGCTACAATCACCTTACGGCTAAAGTCCGAGCAGCTGTTCAAAAGGCGAAAAAGTCGAAGTGGGTTAGTGCGTGTGAAAAACTCAATCTTCTAGACGGTGGGAAGGTGTGGAATCTGCTCGGAAGTCTCTCTGGTGCGGGTAAGGCCAAAAACCCGCAACCATTACTATCGGACAAAGGTGTCGTGGCGAGCGACAAGGAAAGAGCCAATGTGCTGAATGTTCACTTTGCCGCAGTGAACAACGAGTCCAAAGTGTCGAAAGAGACCCCAGAGCATAAGGAAATTCGCCGTCTGAAGAAAAGGGGAGCTCGTATCCAGCGTTCTGGACCCCACCCTGAGATATTCACAGTTCCCTTCACAATGGAAGAATTGCAAAACGCGCTCAAAAAGTGCTAGCCGGCGAAAGCACCAGGCCCAGACAAAGTTCACAATGAAATGTTAACCCACCTGGGTAAACTGGGGAGAGAACTTCTGCTGGCTCTCATTAACCGAACTTGGACTACAGGTATTTTACCGAAAGTGTGGAAGCAGGCCATAGTGGTTCCCGTACCAAAGGAAGGAAAACCAGGCCATTTACCAAGTAGCTACAGGCCAATATCGCTGACGTCCTGTGTGGGCAAAGTGGCCGAGCGAATGGTGAATGGAAGACTCTACTGGTTTTTGGAGAGTGGAAAGCACCTACCACCGACGCAAGGTGGCTTCCGTAAGGGTAGGCAGCCCATGGACCAGGTGGTCCGTCTTGTTCAGTCTATGACCAATGAACTCCAGAAGAAAAATCATTCGTTGGCAATTTTCTTTGATCTCAAGCAAGCATATGACCGCGTGTGGCGCGTTGGCCTCATGCATAAATTCCAGAAGTTGGGTGTCACTGGAAACATGTCCGGGTGGGTGACGGACTTTCTCAAGGACAGGTCTATTGTCACGCGGGTTGGCAATAGTCTATCGAAGCGGCTTGCTCTAGAGGACGGACTCCCCCAGGGGTCTGCCCTCAGCTGCACCTTGTTCTTAGCCTATGTCTATGACTTGCAAGAGGGATTAGTGTCCGATAATGCCATGTTCGCTGATGATTTAGTAATCTGGACTTCGGGGCCAAACATCAACCACTTGCAGAACCGGCTGCAAAACGATCTCCGTAGCATCGAGGACTACGCGAGACGGTGGAAAATGGTTGTGAATACTGAGAAGACGGTCTATTCTAAGTTCACAAATGGAAGAAAGGTGCTTGAGGCCGATATTAAACTCTCCATAAATGGGAAAGATTTGGTATGGGACAGGACTCCAGTTTACCTGGGGATTAAGTTGGACCAGAAACTCCGACTCCATCACCACGTACACGAACTATGCGCCAAGGCTTCACAAAAATTGGGCTTGGTGAAAAAGCTGGATGTTTCAAATTACAAGACGAATGGGAGAAAAAGTCCAGATTGAAGCGACCATCCTTCATGGACATGGTTCACAGTCTTGAAAAAGACGTTACTCTGCCCAGAAACAGGGAAAAAGTGAAAGTGATCCTCGCGCGGGGGCCACACAAAAGTCTTCCCCTACCGGACATTCGACTGGAAATGGTTGATGTCAAAGCCAGCGAAGGCAGTCCTCAATTAGACCCATCAGAGGCTGTACGACGCACGATTGAAGCCTACCCGAATAGCTTGGTTAAAGTCTTTACAGACGGCTCATGTTTCACGGAGGTAAAACGTAGCGGCTACGGTGTCCTCATCCAGTATCCCGCAGAGATAGCCCCACCCGAGGAGCTATCTGGACCATGCGGCAGGAATGCAACGAACCTCGATGCGGAGATTGAGGCGATACTGGTAGCTCTCAAGAGCTTGAACCAACGGCTAGCTAAGCGAAAGTCCTTCCCGGACGTTGTGGTCTTCACCGACTCTCGTTCTGCTCTCGAACACATGGGGGAGAGATCGGTGGGCTCGACAAAGATCACTGCTATTTTGGAGACAGTAGGCTCCATCCATGCACATGGCCCCAAGGTAGTCTTCCAGCTTATCACTTCGCGCTTAGAGGCGTCGCTTCCAGACAGGGCCGATTTCCTAGCACAAGAAGGCGCAGCCCTACCTCAACCAGACAATCCCATGACTCAGCTCGGAGTCACTGTCTGGTTGAAAGACCATTTCAGGAGAAAATGGCTTGATAAGTGGGACACGGCCACTACTGGACGACAGTTTTACCAGGAATTTCAGCGACCGAGCAAAAGCGACCCGTGGTGGAAGCTTAGTCGTAGAGAACAAAGCCTTATCACTCAGATGAGAACTGGGCACTGCGCTACGCGCAGTTATCTCTACCGGCTCGACAACAGAAGGGAACTTTTGTGCCAATTTTGCGGACTTGAAGAGGAGACAGTAGCCCACTTGGTTGTCACGTGTCCGGACAGTGGGACGGGGGCCGACGGTAGGAATCCGGAGGCCTGCCTTAATGATCTCCTATACGGAAGCGCTCAGCAGATGAAGCACGCCGTAGAAATCATGTCCAGGGCTCTAAGAGATTGAATCTCAGCCCTTTTGAGTATTTACTATTAATAGGAGTCAGGATGGAAAATTTTACGTCCTAATATCTTCCTCCACCCATCCCAGGGAAGCGTTAGACGCCGGGTGGCATCAAATTAAATTATTCGACTTCATAGAAAAGCTACCGTTAACTTTTGGTGGACTGTTCACGTACAGTTTGAGGACGCTTATAAAGTTACTCCAGACATTTTTTTTTCTAAACGAAATTCCCCTTCACTTCAATCAGTGGTTCTCAGCCTTCTTAATGCCGCGACCCTCTATTACAGTTCCTCATTTTGTGTCTGACCCCCAACCACAAAATTATTTTCGTAGCTACCTCATAACTATAGAGAATATGTGTTTTCCTATGGCCATAGGCGACCCCTGACTTAAATGATCTACCGTTAGCGCAGTGGCTCAAAACCTTTTCACTGGCGATGCCACTTTTAAAATAAATTTATAAGATGGAGCTGAGCCACATAGGCCTATACCCGTTTGCCGTCGTACAAGATACTGGGGCTAGTTTTATTTCCTGGAGCGACCGCTGGGCTCGTAAGAAAAGCATATTCTGAGAACCTTTGATCTAGAGGGAACTCCCATTTTAATGACGCAGGTGCACTCGTTAAAAAAAAATGTGTGAGCAAAAGATGTGATTTTATGTGAAGTTGTACAAATTGTACAAAGAATAAATGTCAACCAAAGGACACGATGTTTTGTGAAGCTATACAAAAAAATTATGTTCTGCTGAGCTGTGTTTGTTGTATGCATGCATGTATGTGCGTGCGTGCGTGCGTGTACAGACCTGCGATACAAGCCGTCAGAAGGCTGGCACAGTGCCCGACCAACATAGAACGCATGACGTACTTAAACACGACCATTTTTTGATGAGGCACCAGCACAAGGTAGCACCCCACGATGACGCCGACGCTGATAAAGTTGGCAAAGCCCCACAGAGCGTAAGTCGTGATGACCTCAGATCTCATCTGCCACCCCCCCCAAAAAAAAAAAAAAACACAAAAAAACTATATAAGTAATAAGGGTGAGAGACTGCAAAGGAAATGAGCGAAATAAAGTATGGGAAAACCCCAAAAATAAGATGCAACCAGGCAAAAAAAGCATCGGTGGGAACACTTAAGTTAAAATATTTTTTTTTTTTTAATAACCCTTAGATGCAATATAGTATCCTAGAGGACAGCAAGAGGAAGGTGCACAGAATTCAAATAGATATTTGCATAACAGATATAAAATTGTCTTAATGTTATGAAAATAAATAAATGTGGATTAATGAGGGCAATGGCGTAAGAAGAGTGGGGCGATTCGCCCCGAACGGGTCCCTCTTCTTTCTAATGTGCGGCGGCATTTTCAGAAAACTGCAGAGTTTTGTTCAGAGAGGAGGCGTCCAAAATCTTAACCCACGCGGGGCGGTCCTTACCCTAGCTACGCCACTGTCACGTGGGATTCAAGAATAAAGCTGGTAATAAGTCTTGTCAGGTTCTTTGGGGGGAAATAAAATGCATTGCTCGAACAGATTAAAATTAGCCTCTTTTGCTATAAATGATCTTATTTCATTTCCTTAAAAATATATGCCTTCTAAAATTCTCTCTGGATACATTTATATTTAACCTTAGCCATTTGTATGAATATTCGATTGCCACAAAAAACACACACACACACACACACTTCTGCTTCTTCTATATATTAAGGGCTCATGATCAATGTATTGATCATTATGGCTCCTATGTATGTAGATGGGATTCGCAATTTTTAAAAAAAAAATATTAGTCTCTTGTAAAGACTTATGATTAAAATGTCAATGAATTATACACGAATTTTTGCCCCTTCCATTTTCTTCAACAGAAAGAAAACCCTTTAAAAAATGTATTACATTGTTACTAAAATCCCTTTCACTAAGACCCTATAAAAATATATTATTTTTTAAACTAAAATCCTATTCACTAAAAGAAAACTTTAAATATATATATATATTTTTTTACTAAAATCACTTTCACTGAAAACCTTTAAAAAAAATTGCTATGACAAATAATCGTCCATTGTCTCACAGAAAGAAATCCCTCTTGGAGGGTCACATTCCACACTGGAAGAAACACGTCCCCTGTGACGTTATCTACCGACCACTTGGTGAGGTTCTGACTCACGTACTCCTCGTGCAGGAGTCGGTTCTTCCTGAACTGTCCCAGCTTGGCGTAGGCGACCAGCTCGTTGATGAACACCTTGATGCCCAGCAGCTCGGCCACTCGGCGACCGTCGCGAACGTCCACGCCCAGGGACAGGGCCAGCGGATAAAACAGGTAGGAGCAGATCCACTGCGACGATGGAGACGAGTAGACAAGGGGGAAATTTTAATGAGGATAAAATGATTTAAGTTAAAATTATCTCTAAATTTCATGAAAAGACATTAAAGTAAATTACTTAAATATTTACTTTTAACATATTTTTTATTGTATACACACTTTTCTAGACACTCTCCTTAATTCTCATTTTACAACATTTATCAAATTTCCTCTTTTTATATTAATTTCAAATCTTAAAGATATTCGGGAATTTAAAATATATTTTAATCCACCCCATACTCCACCCCAGTATTAAAACATCTAACAGAATATTTGATTTTAATAACCCCCCCCCCCTAAGACAATTGCTAACCTAGTTTTTATTCACCACAAGCCGCGGCATTCAAGCTTACCTCCCACCTACCTACCCCCCAATGTGTAATGATTTTGACGTCACCGATTAAGCGTGTAGCGACATTACTTTTACCCACCCCTCCCTCGATTGGGAAAAGGTTGTTTACGCTCGAATACGAATAATTTATTCTAAATAATGCTACCAGGTAATTCAATTTCTATCATTTCTTTTAAGGGAGGTTCCAACTTTCAACCCATAAATAAGGCGACAGCTTTCCAAGCCGGAAGAGTTGTTCGCTATTTTCCCTAGACATTTACAAAACGTAATGAACTTAAAAGATTGTACTCTTTATGTGTGTGTGCGTGTGTGNTATATATATATATAGATAGATAAATGTATTTATTTATGCTTATTTGACTTTGTATTCTTTAATAGTACCATTAAATTGAATAGTGTTAGTGTCACTAGCTTTGGTATCGCTTTTCTTTATATCCAGGTGTTCGATCCTTTGTTACGTATTGTTCATCTAACGAGCAAAGTCGCAAAGTCTTAAAGCAGATAAAACTTTACACACAAAAAAACAACAACGTACAAACGGTACGTACGTGACACATTGTTTTAAAAAAAGCATCATCATTTACTATAAAACTGGACAAGCTAAAATGAACGTGCTATCCCACGTACTACCACACGACCGTGCATTAACCCCCGCCCGTCCCCCAATCCCCCCCTTCCCACACACACACCTGCAATGTAAGGTTCTTGACGTCCACCAGACCACCGAGCCACCTGAGGGTCGCGTTGATCATTTCCATAAAACTGATGACCGCCGTGACGTTCGCGATGATCGCGCCACCCAGAGTCAGGGCGCTAATGGCTCCACTTGAGGCAGCGTCCATTACACTTCGATACCTAATGATTTTTTAAAAAAAAAGCATCACACAAGCTTTCAAAAGTCTGTAAAATTTTATGATACCGCATTTTTTTTTTTAAACGTGGTTTTTGTTGAAACTGACAAGTGTAAAGACACAGCTGTCTATATGAAGTTCTATATGTTAACAACTCAGCGCCATACCGTTTGGTCTGGTCCATATCCTCCTCAAGAGTCTTCCCCAAACGTTTCTGTGTCTCTGGCACTGCCAGCTTGGCCACAGAAAGGGCCGCGGGAGCAGACATGACCGACGCGGCTAGCAAGTGGTCGGCCGAGATCTGTCCAGTTGAAGGAAATATTTGGTTACTTCATTAATTTGCATTCTGCGAAAATTCTATACGATTTAAGTAAGAACCAATCTGACGTGGGTCAGGTGGGCTATTGTGCAGTGGAGGGGTGGGGGGGGGAGGCTTTCGCATTCACGAGGTCTTCAAATTTACACAGGGTTATTATAACTCTTAAAATAAATGCAACAAAACTCTGCGTCTCAAACCGAAAAGATCTCCAAACAGGCGTGGGTGTGACATGTTTATTTTTTAAATGGTGATAATTTTATTATTTTTTTTATAAGTCGAGAACTGCCTTGAAATTCTGAAACAGGATTAATCGCATAAATTTCATGCATTCCAATTTCTACATGACGCCGTCTACGCCAATCAATAAGCTCAAACAACGCATGCATTAACTTTAAAGACGAAGGCTTCATGAAACTAAACTTACCCCCAACACAATGTACAAGCCAATGATGCTACCGGTAACCGTTGACATGGCGTTGGCCATGAGACAGTGAATCTCCGAGGGTGTCACGTGCTTGAGGTAGGGTCGGATTATCATGACGGAGTCGACCTGTCAGATGATTGCATGGAATTAATATGCATTCAGGCACGAAATTTCAAATAACATTAAGAATAACCCACAAGAAATCAGATCATCCGTATGGTGTCTCTGTTCTTACACTTACATGTATGTATATATAAACACAACCATGGTGGCGTGTAAGATACGGGAAGGGGTGAATAATCTGTAACAATAATTCCAGATGACGCTCCATACATTCACCGATGCTTATTTGTATTTATTTTGGAGGGTTTTTTTTTTTGGTGTGCATTTGGTGCGTACGTTATCAAGCTTACAACAGGGGAAGCAGCGAATGAGAGCGCATCATGGTGCGCCATGATAGCAGGTGGACAAGAAAGATCCACTCGAGAATTATTATTATTATTGATATTATAATGCAATCGGTTTTTTTAATATATAAAGAATATGTTAAATATCGTAGCTCGTAATGGGTTGAAGACTAGTTATTTATTACCACTGATACTGCCTGTAATAAAACCAAACTCTGGCAAACAATTGCATGACTGACTATTGCCATGTTTTATCTAAAAAAAAATAAACAATAGCGCATAGGCACTTAAATAGCACGAAGGCTATAAAACACAGTAACTGTTCAAAAATATAATTTTAACTCACAGGTCCCATGAATATATTAGCCGAGGCATTCAGAGCCTCCGCTGGTGACGCCCCCGTGCAAAATGCCAAGAACCTTCCAACAATCTTCAGAAGGGCGTGCAGTACTCCTAAGTACTCCAGGATGGCGAGCAAGGCGACAATGAAAGCGATGAGGGGAACGAGCTGAAGGAGACAATGACAAGCGGTGAGGATTAGATCAAGAGTTTTAATGGATGCAGCTTATTAAATATTATGAACAAAGATATTTGTAGTAGAAAGGGGGGAAAATAGGTATTTGTTTGTTTTGAAACAACTGATACTTTCACAATAATACAATTTGCTATTTAAATTTCTATTGTGTTATACTCGGCTATTTTTGCTAGTGTTTATCTGCAATGAAACAACACAACACTAGCTACTAACGTGGAAGACAAAGCCACCAGACTTGGAGGTCTCCCCAAACAGAAAGCGGCCTCCCTCCTTCGAGAACCCGACCAGCACGGTGATCACGCCACCTGTCCAGTGGAATACGCCGCGTACAGCTGGCATGCGTAGGATGGTCAGGGCGAATATGTACTGCAAGAATAGTCCACTAATCACCGGCTGCCATGAGATCTGTATTTCAGAAGGAAAAACACTTGATGGGTTTTTTCTCCCATTTTTGTTCAAATACTTCATGGGTCAAATTAAATAAAGTTTATTTTAATGACTAAACATGTAGACTTCGCTTGATAAGATTAATAACATGAGACTTATAGATCCCGTGGTTATGTATGTATATCTTCTTCTGTATTATAAGGGCCCACGATCAATGTATTGATCATTATGGCTCCTGGTTTGATCTCAGAGTTTGCCGTCTTAGATGAGTTGCCGTCCAAAGCTAACAAGTCCCACCAACCGGGTGCAAGGGATGATCTTGTTGTTTTTGTTGTTGTTGTTGTTATTTTGTTGTTGCTTGTCTTGGCTTTTGGTGGGGCTTAAACTCCAGACCACCAGCTATTTGGATTGAGTCAGTTTAGACCACTCGGTCACCCAGCTCGTTAATTTGAAAGAACTACATACAGAGAGAATTAGAAGCAGGCAGACAGACGGATCGACAGAAGGCAGACAGCTACAAAAAAACTATCATAAATATAAGAACCAGGGATAGACAGAAATATGCAAGAAAAAAGAAAAGGCCAATATCATAGCGTCGGGGAGACAAGAGGGATTGAGAGAGAAAGAAAGAGAGAGGGAGAGGAGGGAAGAGAGAGAGAGAGAGAGACAGAGGGTGAACAGAGTGAGAACGATATATATATATATATATAGTGAGAGACAGAGGGGGGCAGAGAGAAAGAAAGAGAGAGAGGGGGACTTGGACAGGAAAATGCAGCTATCATCATGACACATACCTTATGAGGGTGTGTGGACGTTATGAAAAATGTGAGGAAGATGGCCGCGATGCCAGTGAGAGAGATGAGATTTTCAGGACGGACCAGAACAACTTCCGTGACCAGAGTGACGCAGGTGATGACGACACAGGCCAGAATGAGACATCTAGACGAAAGGAGAACCACACGTGAGTCTCAATATTATCAACAGTGTCAACAATGAAAGTATTTTCATCTGGTTTGATGTGAAGTCAGCAGCAGAATTCTTGGCTTGACGAATTAATTTTAAGAGTTGGGTCAAAAAAATAACGTATAATATTTGTAACAACTTTAAAAAAAAATATTTTTTAAAAATCAAAAAAGAGTTTAAACGTTCCAGTGTTTAGGATATCATTAAAAATTCTTAATGTTCCTATTACGCAAAGGGATAATAAGGGGAAAGACTGCAATCAGGTTAGCACAATATAAAATGATTTAAACGGAGTTGGGTTAAACCTGAAAAAAGAAACGCAACAAAACAACGAACGTGTCTGCAGAAAGCCTTCGTCAGCGAACTTTAAGCTTTAAGCCCACTGACAGCCGCAGCTATCTAACTCTACTTTTCATCCCACCCTAAGTCCCATAAAGAATCTATTCCTTTTTCTCAATTACTTCGTCTTTGTCGACTATGTCGGTCGGATGAGGACTTTTGGGACAAAGCACTTGAAATGATGGACTTTTTCCGGTGTAGGTCTTACCCGGAGACAGTACTTTCATCAGCCCTCCAAAGGGTTAAGAATATTACCCGTGCTGATGCCTTCAGGCCACGTCAAGGGACAATGTTGACAAGACAAAACTTATTATAACTTATCACCCTCACAATCTGATAGCCAAACGTGTTTTCCTTAAACACCGCTCTATACTATTCGCAGACACTGACACTAGAGAAATTTTCTCTTCCCCACTTCTAATTGTTTTTAGATGGGATAAAAATCTGAGAGACCTCCTTGTGCGCAGTCGTATCAACGCTGCCCCCTCCCACTTTGGGAACAAGCCATATGGACGAAGCCGTTGCAACACTTGCCCTTTTGTCTCCCAGACTCATCACATACGTTTCCTTAAGGGAAGTTTTCAGATATGCGACGGTTTCCTTTGTACAAGCCGCAACGTTGTCTACGCTATTGTCCGCACCCGCTGTCAGATGATGTACATAGAGGAGACTGGATGCCGTCTCTCTGACAGGTGTACCGAACACCTCCGTGACATTACACACGATAAACAGTGTCCCGTCTCCAAACACTTCAGTAGTAGCGACCACCAGGGCAAGACGGGCTTTTCAATAAGTGCTATCGTGGCTAGCACAAACACACCCAGTCGGGTCAATTTAGAACACAGGCTTATCCTGACTTATGGTACTTTGACGCCACATGGGATGAATGTCATGTTTCTTTTCACAGCTTGACCCTAGCTCCGCCCATCCATGTCCTGAACTATTGCAGTGGACTTTTTTCTCCTCTTTTCTTTCGCTCTTCCATATTTAATCTCTCCCTAAATTACTTTCTGTCACATTTCTTTTTCTGCCCACGGATAATACGTTCATGTTAAGGGATATTTCTTATTTTTATTTTTATACCGTAATTTCTGTTGTTTTGTTCGCTGACGAAGGCTTTCTGCCGACACGTTCGTTGTTTTGTTGCGTTTCTTTTTTCAGGTTTAACCCTACTCTGTTTTACTCATTTTATATGCGCAAAGGGAGTCTGTAATGAAGGGTATTAAGGCACTCTATGAAACCAAAGGCTTCGAATTTTACGTTTTTCCCAAGTAAAATATTTTTTTTAAATAAAGCATATTAACATTTCAAATTATTTGGATCAATAAAGAATCTTATCTCATCTTATATTTTCTTATCTTATCTTAGCAAAAAAACAAAAAACGTAAATATGTTTTATTTTAAATTAATGTTTACAAAATATTTTTTCACAGACATACGAGTAAAATAAATAAAAACAATTAATTTTAAAAAAAAACAACAGATCAAAGACATGAAATGACCAAGTTTAACCACAATGACCTATTTGAGACCACATACCTTGTAAGGTGACGGGTTGCCTTGGCGTGTTTCGACAGTAGCTTGCAGACCCTGGCGATGGGCTCGTGCTTCGAAACGCCCTTGACCAGCAGCACCAAGATGATAATCACGGTGATGACGATCAGTCCACCGCTGCTGCTGTCGTCGTGGTGGAGGAACATGGCGTAGGAGAAGTACGTCAGATACAAAAACAGGCAGAGCATGGAGATCCCCGCTTCCAGGCCACGCCACAGCCTGGTCAAACTTTGGTAAAGTCTTCGTCTCGCGAAAAAGAATTTGGCGACATACAACTTGCTGTCTTCATCTGCGCTGTTTTCGGGGCCCTCTGTGCTCGAGAAGCTGTCGTTCCGAGATGAGCCTGATAACGTCACCGTCGTAGAGGAGCCGATGTTGCGCAGTTCGACGTTAACGTTGGGTTGAGGTGAGTCGATGGGTTGTTTGATCACATCCATAACTTTGGACGTAAACGGGACCACGATGTTGTCTTATAGGACACGATGTCGTATAATGCGATACGATGTGGTCTGAAGTGTTGAGATGTGGTCTACTGTTATAAGATGTTTGTCAAATGTGATACGGCGTAGACTAGCCTTATAATGTGATGCGAAGAAAGGATAATGTAATACGAAACTTTTTAAATCTGAATTTACCAGATTTACCAGGTTATTTAATAAAAAAACATACAAATCAGACGATTATTCTCATACGTCGGAAAAGTCCCGTGTTTATTACACTTCTTTACATTAACATATCAATTATTCTCACACACAAATATAAAAAAACAAAAACAACAACACTTGTTGACACAATTTCTGAAGTTTGAACAGACGATTTCAACTGTTAGTAGAATAGTATAGTTCCATCAGAGGTTAATAAAACATATTGAATAAGTTCTACGTGAAGTACGGTACTAAAATTGTGTACGTGTATGTCAACGTCTTTACGCCTTCTATTTCCTGTTCCAGGACTGTCAGGATCATGCGAAAAAAGCGACGTCGCGACCGCAAAGTGTACAATGAGTCGGAACAGTGCACGCCACCCAAGCCATAATTGACACCAATTGGACGCGCTTCCCTGTACATTTACTATTCAAAACAACGCAAATGTTCTACGCTCCTATCTAGAGCGCAGGGGCCTAAGTTTAACACATACACTCATCTCTGGTGAATGAACTCGATGTGCCATAATAGAAGCGACTGACTGCACGAAATCTATGTGCTCAGAGTTGAAAATGAAAACAGGAAATTCAAACAGGATGTGATAAAACAACTCGGAAAAAAATATTACAAAACATTAAAGAAATAGAAGAAACAAAATTAAAAATAAATCTATATTATTTTTTTTAAATTGTATAATAACCAGAAAGCCCTACTATTGCTCGAATGTTTCTCTCACATGCAAATGAACTAACGAATGCTTTCATAATACGTTGTTATTTATAGTACTATAAATCAAAATATTTTTTTCTGTTAACAAGGACGTGTTGTTGACTACCTGTGATCCGTGGTAAATGTGAAGGCCTCATTTGCACTTTGAAATTAAATAGCCATGCTTGAGTAACCATGATACAGTTACCATGCTTGAGTACACATTATGCTAATCGTAAGCATGCCTGAGAGAGCATGCTGCAGTAACCATGCTTCAGTACTTATGCGGCAGTGACGATTGCCACAGTAACCATGCTACAATAACCATTCTTCAGTGACCATGCTACAGTAGCCAGGCTACAGTACCCATGCTACAGAAACCAAGCTACAGTAACCATGCTACAGTAACGATGCTACAGTAAGCAGGGACGATCTTGTCGTCTCCTGTTTTTATATAATTTTAATTTTTTTTTTTTTTAAATTTCAAAAGACGTGAATGACTTTTGAGAAAACACCATTTGAACACTGCGCCAGGACGTTCGGATAAAAAAAATACACATAGGGGCATCGACATATCACTCCAAGCCTGTTGGGATAAAAATCTCATTCCATTTCCAGTGGCATCAAAATCGTACTCTGTGCCTACAGCTAACGAACATTTCACTCAAGGCCATTGAATTTGCCCAGTGACTTAACATTCATGGGTCCTCAAACTGGCATTCTTGCAAAACTGTCTTTAAAAGCGCAGGCCTTGTAAAAAATATTCTTTTAAAATAGATGTGGAGCCATTCAGGGAGCTGGGTGGCCGAGCGGTCTAAACTGACTCAATCCAAGTAGCGGGTGGTCTGGAGTTCAATCACAATCAAAGTCGACATCTCAAATTGAACGTGAGCCCTCAAATACGAAATAAAATATACGTACATTGTAAATTTATAAGCTGTGCCGCTTGAATGCACTGCTACCTTTACACGTTCATTTCTTGTATTCTATTAGCAGTGGTCCCCAAACTTTTTAACGCCGCCGACCGGTCAACGTTTGATAATTTTACTTCGGCCTTTTTTTTTTTTGGGGGGGGGGGTTGGGGGTGGAGTTGATTGTTTATGTTTTAGATTATTTTGATTTTATAATTTAAATTTGATTGTATTTAAACATGCCTTCAAAATAAAATACAATTACACCAAAAAAAATGAATATAAGATGATTTATCATTGTAATTGACTAGAACGCTAAAACAATGAGAACCCTGAGCTTGTTTCTCTTCAAAGAGACTGTTCCATTGGAGAGGGTAATAGGAGACAATGACACCCGAAGTGTTTTGCTTATGTCCAGTTTATTCCGTTGTTTTGTTTTGCATTGCATACATTCACTCTCAGGTGCAACCTCCTTAATCCGAGCCGTTACACCAGACAGTAGTCCGGACATGGCAGCAGCTCCGTCAGTGCATATGCCGACACAAAAGGACCGACTTAGTTGTCCTGATATATATCCATCCAGAGGCTTGAACAATTCTGCTCCTGTGGTGTTGGCTGGCAAACTTAGTGCACATAAAAAAAATCCTAATGTCCATCCTCCTGTTAAAGACATCGCACATAAACAAGTGGTATTGCCTTGTTGTCGATATCTGTAGATGCCACAACCTGTAGTGCGTACCACGGTGATGTATTAAACATCTCCAACAAATTGTGTCTCAATGTCTTCGGCTATTTCCTCAATGCGCCCGAGTCACAGTGCTAGACGACAAAGGCACATATGCTATCTTTTTTAACAGCGGCCTCTCCTTAGAAGTTCAAGGCAAATGTCTTTAGTGGAGGGCAAGATCAATTCTTCACCAATAGTGAATGGCTTTTTAGCATTAGCAATACGGTTAGCCATCAAATATGATGCTCTCAGTGCAACAGGCGAACAATCCAAAGAGAAATACACCACAGTAAATAAAATGGAAATAATTTAATGTTTCTTGGGCGGCCCGGTACCATTTGATCCACGGACCGGTACCGGTCCGCAGCCCGGGGTTTGGGGACCACTGCTATTAGCATCACAGAGTACACATCGTATCAAATAAAAAAAATTTACAACTGATGCAAAAGTAACACTAATTTTATTCTTGAAATGTTATAACTGCAGCTAATTTAATGGCTGACACTAAACAATTTTTGTAACACTTTTTGTAACACTTTTTGTAACAAAACACTTTTCTTACACATTTTTGTTTTTCTTTTTTCCATAACTTAGTCTAAGTTAACCTTTTGCATATGCTTCTTGCAACGATTGACAGCGAATTCAAAAACACTGAAACTAACCACAGAACTAATCAATGAAAATAGTGTGAACTTGTATCTATTGTTCAACCATTCGACAAGGATTCTTATCATTGCGTGTGACGTGAGCAATTGGCCAGGTGATGTCCATTTAAATCCTGATTTTTAGTTTTATTTGACTAAGTGAGAACGCAATACATTTTTTTTAAATATTAAAAAAAAAAATAAAAATAAATGGTTAAACACCCCCCCCCCCCCCCCGGCCAAAACTATATCCATAAAGACAAAGGAATGAAAAGAACCCACAGTTGCATCACGTGATTAGCTCTGAAGGCCCTTGCACTACAATGCCAGGTGTCAGCCACCCTTGTTAGGGTTTGCGTGTAGAGAAGCCAGGTTAAAGGTCTATGTTTCTGTTTCTAAGGTCCGTGCGCCTCGAATTAGATACGTAATTAATAGCCTTGAAGTGGTTTCACCTCGTGCCCAGTTCGTCATCACACCCATTGAAAGTGCTTCGTTTGCTTATTTCATTTCAATGTTATTATCATTACTTGTCATCGTCAGTTTTATTGAGAGCGTCGGGGGGCCGGAGCCCCGCCCCCCCCCAATTAAGAGCACCAAGCGAGTAGGGGTTTCGCAGGCGACACACATATTGTATATGGTCACGAGCAAAGAGGCAAGGACATGGCATTATCTATGACATTGTACATGATATTGTATGTGATATTGTATATGATATTGTATATGGTATTGTACATGACATTGCATTGCCGTGATCTACAATAAAACTTATTTTCTCATGTTTGTTTTCAAACCGTAGTTGGTTTACTTGCTTCATCCTTGACACACATAAATCAGCCCACCTTCTGTATTGACAGAAGCACCAAAAAGTGTGTAGGGAAAGAAAAGGTGGACTGAATTAAGATGGAATCTAACTACCGGGAATGGTGCATAGGTCCCTGACTTTATTCATATAGTATCTTTACATCTTTGTTACCTCTGTTATTTGAAAGTCACGTTAAAAAGGGGGTTATTTATAAACGTTTTTTTTTTTTTTGGGTTTCAAATAACCAAAAATAGTTTTAAAAATATGAGGTAAAAAGTTTAATTTGATTTTTTTTAATATACAATAAGTTAAAAGGTATGCAAAAAATTTATATCTTTGTTTCCTCTGTTATTTGAAAGTCACTTTAAAAAGGGGGTTATTTATAAACGTTTTTTTTTTTTTTGGGTTGCAAATAACCAAAAATAGTTTTAAAAATATGAGGTAAACAGTTTAATTTGATTCTATGTAATATACAATAAGTTAAAAGGTATGCAAAAATAAACAGTTTTGATAGATATTGGTATTCAAAACGGGTTTTATGTTGCGTGGCTTCCTACTGGCACGGCATGTTCAGTAGCGCCTTTGGAGGCCAGGTTTTCAAAGCCACTAACCAGACGCTGACCTATGACCGTGACATCAGTTATAACGCGGCGATGCCCTGAATTCACACAACACCGTTAGATCTAACTGTTATCGCGTCAGCTGAGTTGGGGGGGGGGGGGGGGGGGGGGGGGGGGGGGGGGGGGGGGGGGGGGGGGGGTGATTGGGGGAGGGGTCTTAAACTGAATCCGCTGCATTCATTGCTTGGTGATTTGGGAGATTCATAAAGTAAAATCCACGACCTGATTCTGCATCCAGCACAAATTATTTTAGGGAGAAATGATGTAATGTCTTAGTCTTTGGCATTTATGGCAATAAATTATTATTATTTTTTTTTAATATAAAGGCAATAACATCAACGACGACAGCAAAAAAAAAAAAGAATGGAGGGAGTGATAGGGTTGGCAAAGGAGTGTAGATGAACACTCTATGAATCCAATGGATTCGAATTGAATGTAGACAACATTTAAAGGTTTTATTTTTGTATTAATTTCTGAAAATATTTTCTGCACACAAATTAGTTACGCAAAACATTGTTAGAAATACACTATTTTCTACGTTTTAGTGCGTTTAACTCGTCATTTTCATAAAAAGCCTTCTTTAATATATATATATATATATATATATATATATATATATATATATATATATTAATTTATTTATTTATGTATATATTTATTTTCTAATTTTTAGTCCATGATCATTGCAATCTTCAAATTATCGACAAAAGTCCCGGTTAAAGTGACTTAAATCTTCACCTAGTAAAAAGTAGATCTGAGGTCACCCGCCTACCCACCCATGACCGCAGCGAAGAAAACGCTGTGGGCCATGATAATTTGAGCGACAGTGTCAACCCGCCTCCATCGTCCAGTTGTTCACCAGGCGACAAATATACTTTTTTTAAAGTATTTTTTTTTAAAAATTTTTTTAATGTTAATTTTTTTTATTTTTGTGGAGTTTGCCGCACTTTAAAAATGCCACTCTTATCACCCACCTATATCGCATATACTTAAAGCCGGCATTGAATAGACCGAGTGAACCGACTGTGTTTTTGTGAGAACAAAAAATGGTATTTATCAGATTGCGCCAAGATAAGAACGGTGCCCAAATGTCGGTCTTGAAACTGTATGACAAAAAAAAAATATTTGAATCCGGGTTCGAAATGAAAAAAAATATGTATATATAAAGTCGCAATTCTCTTATTACTAACAATATTCTACAGAGGACTCCTTGAATTGATTTATAACTTTCCGTGAGAAGATAACTATTCTCTTCTAATAAATTATGGAGTAATTTATGGGGATTTATGGAAAGTTTTTAGGAAATGTATAACTATTTATTTGATGAAGTTCGTTTTGTATGCCGTTTTTTTACTTAATGAACATTTCAATGGGGTTTACCTTGCTGGATATTGCTATGAAACTAAAGCTTTTGTTAATTTTTCTAACATTTGCTGTGTAACAAAGATTTTGCTTAATCGTCATTCAAATTTTCACCTCATCCTCAAATACATTTTGGTATTTATTTTAGTGTTTGTACGCTTTTCTGTTTAAGAAAATTAATTTAGGTTAAAAAATAAAATTTGATTTCAATTTTATTATTATTCTGTCAGAAAACCGAGTAAAGGAATGAAGGGACACATGAAGGTCACAAAACTTCTGGTTATGTTCATTGGATTCAGCTTTGTTACTGGTAAGTTCATTTTTTTTTTCTCGCTTGCTTTACGTATCAATCGAGATTTAACAAATTCAAATATTTCATTGACTTGTATTTTTTTTTAAAGTTCTCGAAAAATTGCAATACATGCTACAGAGGTGCCCCGGTTGGCACATTCTGTCTTAATGTCGAGGAGCGTCATTTTTGGAAAACTGAAGAGTTATTTATTTTATTTCTATTGTGCAAGGGGTGGCAAAAAATATTTTCCCGCCCCGGGTGGCCCTAACCCTAGCTACGCCACTGACGCTCTATCTTTGCCTGGCCTGAATCTCTCGCGTGGTCCCTAGGTGCAGCTTCCCATCCTCCCGTCCAACCACACTGTTTTCCCCAACGGTCTTATTATCACTTGATGTCACCCGGTCACTAAATGTCCATGCGTAACCATCACCTCACTACCTTATGGACCACAACAGTCTTTCACAACGCAGTGATTCTCATATCGTGACTGTGTGTTTATTTTGTTTTGCCCATAATTTTGTCTTGTGGGTCGTAAACAAACATTTTTTTTTAAATATGCTAAAAATAAGTGATTCATAAGCAAATAAAAATTTTTTTCTGATGACTACACACCAGAAGATTTTTTCCACCTACAATTATCTTTCCCGTCGTGTGATTATCATTACAAAGGAATTTACTCAGGATCAAAGGATTAGTTGGTAAATTTCTCCTTACTTAATTTAACATAAGAAAAAAAAACTATATATTTCTATTTCAATTCATTTACATTCATGCGTCTAAGCTATTATTGTTATTGACAGCCCAAGATCTGATAAGCAGTTTTGAAGTCAATGGCCAGACCTCGGTCCTGGCCAAAATGGGTGACCGCCTGGAGTACTACTGCATGTCGTATGGGTCATCCGTGTCGTGGACACTGACTGGACAAAGATCCGGTAAGGTGGAAAAACAAATATTTTTAGAAGAAAAAAAAAAAAAAAAAAAAAAATTTTTAAAAAAAAAAAAAAAAAAAAAAAAAAAGATTTTTTTATAAAACACTGCCCAGGGGTCAAGACAACTTCTTGGAGTCTTTCTTTTAAAATATACGACGTAACACGAACCAATTTTGTATTCCGCTTGAAATAGTTCTTTCATTAAAAATTTAAAAAAGAAAATTGACACCGATTAAACTTATGAATGGATGAAAAAAATATTGTACGATCTTGTAGTTACATCAGGTTTTTTTTATAAAATTTATTTTATTACAGTGCTTTTGTATAATCAAACCCTTGCTAGTTATTGTTGACTGTCAGCCTGTTGTGAAGCCGCAATCACGGCATTTTGAAGCGCTATATTTCAACTGTCCAGTCAACTATTCCAAGTCTTGCAGGAATAAGACATTTGAGGTGTGTGATCTTGTTTTGGAGAGCAAGGCNCCCCCCCGGTTTCTCATTACAGGCAATACATTTTTTGACGATGACACGGTCACCTCGGGGTCACTCACCGTCGGGCACCCCGCCACGTGTTTGGACAATGACACCTACCAGTGCACCGCGAGGAGCAATGTCGCCAAGGACGTCAAGTTTGTTGACATTAAGATCATTGGCTGTAAGTTGACAAATATGTTTCAGCTTATTCAGTACAGCTTGCGCGTCTTGGGTTCAGATAGGAAAGTACCGAGGAAAAACTGTGCCCCCCCGCCCACTCCAGGCTTAAAAAAATGATATATTATATAAGCATAATATGTAGGGTTATATATATTTAGAATTATAATTTACGATGTTAGCGCCCCCACCCATGTTGCGAATTGCGCCATTTATTCAACTTCCAGAAATGTTTAATGGGAGACAAGCAAAAGTTTCAGAACATTATTCCAGCAAGCAGAAAACTATAACCCTGGACGGAACCATAACCCTGAACGGAACCATAACCCTGGACAGAACCTTAACCCTACTGGAAAAAATAACCCTGGACGGAACCATAACCCTAGAGGAAACAATAACCCTATAGGGAACCATAACCCTAGAAGAAACCATAACCCTAGACGGAACCATAACCCTAGACGGTGCCATAACCATAGAGAGAACCATAACCCTAGACGCAACCATAACATAATCGCACCTGATCATCGTTCCAAATTGTTATAGTTTTAATGTATGCGTATACCCTTCCATACTGAACACGACTTGCATACTTCATAGGCGCCTTCCCGCAAAATTTGTTCAGCCGAATCAGCCGCGGCTAAGTTCACTCAGCGGAGTTATGTTAGGGCGCTGAAGAGACTCATCCGACACTAACATATTCTTTGTGTTCACCTCCAGCCAAATCAAAGCTCTCAAGAGCTGGAAGCATATCCAATAAATCAATAAAATGTACACGTAGCAATAATTATTACACCTTTTTAAAATCCTTTTCATATGGGTTTTTTTTTTGTTTTTTTCATTTTCAAGGTTGAAGCGGTGATGGGTAAACGATCTCAAAATCGACGTACAGCTAAGTGCTACATTATAGAGTGAAAGATTCAATTATTATAAAGCACGACTTAGTCTTTTCTGAACTGAAACGGACAGATACTTCTTCAATGTAACTTCAAATACTCAACAGATGAGGTTACTCGAACTTTTGATCTAAAGAAATAGCCATCGAAAAAAAAATCACATTTCTGGCTATAATGCAACAGAAGACTGGCGTGTGTATGTGTACATCAGAAGACTGGCGTGTGTATGTGTACATCAGAAGACTGGCGTGTGTATGTGTACATCAGAAGACTGGCGTGTGTGTGTGTGTGTGTACATCAGAAGGCTGGCGTGTGTGTGTGTGTGTGTACATCAGAAGTCTGGCATCTGTATGTGCACATCGGAAGGCTGGCGTGTGTATGTGTACATAATGTATATGTGCGCGCGTGTTGTGAACGCTGCGTACAAAATTGATGCATGCTAGTCGGTCTAAAAAAATGTGTATGTCTGTGCTAGATTTAACGAAGGTGTGCATGGGAAATGATGCGTCTTGATATCTGAACTGTTTAGTATGTGTGTTTTACCAAACAGTAATCACAGTTTCGCTGCTGGGAAACATTGTTTTTAATTTAATTCTCAAAAGCAATGAAAATAAAATAAATGTTTTGTGCAAATCTTTGGATGTTCCAAGCTACTTTTAATGGTTGCACTTGTATTATTTATTTTCTTCTTTTGAACACCTGCTATGACTAAATTGACCTAATATTAGTTAACTTTGCACAATAATCTTTAACTCATCGTAGTGCCAGTGTGGGGCAGATGACTAAGATGGGAGAAAGTTGAGTTAAAAGGAGAACCGGTTGCGGATCGGTTACGGGTAAGGTGAGGGGTTGGGGTTAGTTTCAGGGGAGGGTGCAGTAGTTGAAAGTATGAAGTTGGGGGGGGGGGGGTGACTGTGGTGAAGGGAGGAGGTTGGGGGGGGGGGGGTTAAGAAATAGTGCGGGGTCACAGTGCAAATGGGGTTCCAGAGAGGTGCATGATGGGTGAAAGGTCAGAGGAGGAAGCGATTGTGTTGAGCCGGAGGGAAATCTATTACAGATAAATATTATTCTAAGCGTTCTTAAATTGTAAATGGTTTGCTTCGTGTTTGAAAAATTAGCAATCTACGTTGAAGGCAAAGGATGTGACATGTTCATACGTGTAGGGTAAAGAGTGCTTACTGCTGTGATGAAGTCATTTCTAAATCGAGCGAGGGATGACTCCAGGGAGTTGGAGAGTGGGGACAAGGATTTTGTATTACGCAACCATACACCCCCTCCCCCAAACATCTAATCTCTATACACACACTCCCCTTAAACAACGCACTATCTCTAGCGCCACACACATGCACACACACAACTTGTTATAACACATCTCTCGACTTTTGCAACACATCGATTATCAAGTCATCAAACCACGTTTTTAAATTATTTCTTTTAAATAAGTTTAGATCTGCACCCAACTAACTTTCACTTTGAACTAAACGAAATCCAAATAAATATTATCAGCTGCTACCCACAGCCAGTTTTATTTTCTTATTCTAAACAAGATTTTGTTTCAAAAGAGGAAAGGCATGAGATCGTAACTCTTGACAGCCGGCGTGGTATTTATTACTATTCCCGACCAACACAATGGTGTTCGTCATAGTTCATCGCCTCGTATTTTTTTTATTTAAAAAAAAATGTTTTATGTTTTATTTTTATTATGCCTACTGGGTTGGTTGGCTCTCCAACCTTGAAGTCTGGCCAAATGGATAACTGCCGGATACATATCAACAAAGTACACGTGTATTTAAAAAAAAAGTTAAAAAAAAAATATTTTTAAATATGTAATGAATGTACTATGTAATGAATGTAATATATGTAATATTTTTTTAAAATTAATGGCCTTTTATTAATTAATAGAAATAATGTACACGGCTGTACTGATTAATTTATTATTGGGCAATGAATGAAATATAGGTAATGAATGTAAAATACGTAATGAATGTAATATATGTAATGAGTGTAATATATGTAACGAATGTAACATTCGGCGAAGGAAATAATTCGGCAGTGAAACGAGGGAGAAGAGAACAAAAGTAAGAGAAACACCACATGTTGTAAGCAGTAAAATGTCAGCTGAAAAGGTCAGTGAATAAGAACAAAGCGACAAAAAAAATGAGAAACATTAAAACTTCTTTTCTCATAACCATGATAATTTACAAATGTTTGATTCGCACTCAAAGCAAAGAATTTAGATCATCTCGGGGGGTGGGGGGGGGAGTGGGGGGGGTGGATGATGCAGAGTACCCTTACTAACACACAAGTTCGGATCACCCCATTCTCGTTGGATTCTTTTCTCATAACCATGATAATTTACAAATGTTTGATTCGCACTCAAAGCAATGAATTTAGATCATCTCGGGGGGTGGGGGGGGGAGTGGGGGGGGGTGGAGGATGCAGAGTACCCTTACTAACACACAAGTTCGTATCACCCCATTCTCGTTGGGGGCTTTAGATTACTTTCTTAAAGCCCCGGCTAGTGCAATGGCAACTTGCTACATCTGCTGCTGGGCAGTGCCATTTAACATTGTCTGAATGTAGGACACTCCTGCCGCCCTGGCCTCCCCGGCCTCCCCAGCAACATCCAGTGTGGGGGCACGAAGTCAACAAGATGCGCTACTGTTTCCGGGTGACCAGCGTCCAATGCCGGTAGGTCCGAGCCCCTTACGTATAACCCTAGCCAGGTCGCAGGAATGGAAGCATTAAGACTGGCTAGGGGCCTCCACAGGTCTTAATTCGCAACTTGGGCTCCATGGTGCTAATCCTTCTGGCAATTAGTCCTCACCATTCCTGTTTCACGTGAAAGCATATTTATACGGTGCATATTGATGTATATGGTTTTATGTACTCACTAAACAATGAAAAGCAAACAATAGAATTTTTAAAATCTTTAATTGTTTTCTTTTTACTTTCTGTGTACGATAAAAGATTTTTTTTTAAATTATGGAAGTTCCACGTGAGATCATTTTTATCGTCTATTGCTAAAGAAGTAGGCGATGGCAGTAAGAAATTTGATGATGTTATGCTGGAAGTGACCGTTGGTCATCGCTTATGCACTTGTTTATCCGACGAGTGGACCTTAACATGAAAAAAAGAAAGAAAACAGAAAATGGGCTCAATAAATAGTTAAGAGCCTTTCAGCAATGTACAATAGTTATAACAGTTCCCCATCTCTATAAAAGAGATTCGTGACGTTACATCATGCAGCTGTCTAAAGTGTCTAAGGCCCCCCCCCCCCCCCCNAAAAAAAAAAACCACCACCACCAAAACCCACACAAACATACACACACACGTTTTCCCCCAAAGTTAACATTTTTCGTGATTTGGTTTTTGTGAATGCACCGGAAATCTGTTTACATTTTTTTTTTTTGGTTACAGCTTTGCGTAACATTTAGAGCCAAGTAATATACAATAAGTGGTAAATGCACGTAAATAGTTTGAGATACACTGCTTTAAAGAGCATTAAAGTAACAAATGGAATAAGGGATAAGGGACATCGGAGATTGAGCTATGGTGGCAAACGATGGACATAGTTATAAGTTCAGCTGATTAGATTAGCATAGAGATTTATCAATTATACAGTCTATATCAAAACTCCACACTGGAAGCAGCAATAAAAAAAGTGGAAGCTGCGCTGGGAAGGACACTTAGAAGGAATGCCAAATGACAGAGGAGTGAAGTGGGTACATCACCAAAACCGAGAGAAAACGGCTCAAATGCAGACCTAGGCCTAGATGAATGAATGTTGTGGAAAAAGATCTCCAGCAGCTGGGAATTCTAGCCAGAAAAAGAAAAGAATTAGTAAGGTCTGAGTGGAAGAATGTGGTGAGGCAGGCCAAAGCCCTACATTGGCTGTGACCATGGGCGCCCGCAGAAAACTTTCTAGGGGGGGGGGGGGCAAAAAAATCGATTAACTTTCCAGGGGGGNGCAAAAAAATCGATTAACTTTCCAGGGGGGAGGGCAAAAATTTTTTAGTAATGTTTTAATATAGTTTTAATTAACTGTAGCGTATTTGTATGGTGAACGAACGGACAGGACATCAGCTTAGTTACTTTCTCTTTATTTTCTCTTTACTTTAATAATTTTTTTGTCTATTTTTGTCTAAAAATTTTTTATCCAATCAATCCAGGGGGGGGGGGCAAGTGCCCCTCCTTGCCCCTACCTGCGGGCGCCCATGGCTGTGACGCTATAGGGATGGATGGGTATATATGTGTGCGTATATATATATTTATAAGCACATTAGGAAAGAATTGTTCTCAGCACGCCTCTATATCTTATTAAACTTACAACCAACGACCTCAATGTGAGCCGTCCTGGTGTCCTGGATCCCATTTCTGGTGGCGATGCACTCGTAGGTCTCGTTGTCCACACAACTGGCCGGGTGACCCCATGTGATGGACTTTGACGAGATCCGCCCATAGCCCATCAACGAATGCCCTGTAGTGAGAAAGGCGGATGAACTGCGAAAGCTCTCTACATGAAAGTATATTATGTGAGGCTGATCATATTAAACTTTTCTAGGTGTATTATAAGAATGACAGTTATACATTGAACTTGACAATACTGCACTTAATATGTAATTACAAAATTAAACCCAACAAAACTTGAAATGATACTTTTTTTCTTTAAATGAGTAAAACTATGCGGAAATCAAATGTTAGTTAGGCATGCCTTAACCCTAATCTTTTTAAATAAAAAATTATAGAACTATTTATTCATAGTTACAAAAAAAACCGGTTCTTGATTGCTGCGTGGTTCTCTAAAGTCTGGGGTCTCAAAACCTTGGTGTGGCCCAAAAGAAGGGAAAGGGGGAGATTTTTTTAAATGAAAGATATGTTCCTTGAAATAGAATTACTTTCCAAACTTACCCGAAGTTTTCCCTTTGATTGTCCAAACCACGGCAGACCCGGTGGATATGCACTTGTACTCCAAGTATTCGCCAACGTTGAGGCGGACCGAGCTCTGGCCGTTGACGGTAAAACTGCTGATCAAGGGTTGCGCTGGATATAAGCATTCGATAGTAAGATGATGGGGTTAAGTGGTCTTTATAAATTCTGTACGCAAACAGTTATATTTTATTGTCCTCTTGTTATTGCACATCAAAGATTATAAGCAAATTCAACCACTCATGTAACATACATACAGTTTGCTCTCTCTCTCTCTCTGTCTCTCATTATTCTCAAACCGATCTCCCCCAACCCCCCTCTCGTCACTAATGTCACCCCGAAAATGAAAGAGAACGTTCTACAAATGACAGTGTGCTAACACAGAATGGACTGGAACGTCATTGGCGAAATGTCCATGCTATTCTAGATCTGGACAAAGCTATCTGTCGAGAGTGGTTATTTAAACAAACGGTAGTACACTTTTACCAAGAACAATGAGGGTCAACAGTTCACTTGGTTGGGGGGGGGGATCATTTCTATCTTTAAATTACTAACAATCATTAGTGGTAAACTTTATATTTAATTGACCACCCCTCCCCCCTTTTAAAAAGAAAAAAAAGCACACACACTTTTCCCCCCAATTTTT